CAAAATTAATATTATACAAATTAATAAATCCTTGCCAGAATTTGGCATAGCAAAATTAATATTATACACAGTAATATAATTAGTTACACTTGGCTTATCAATTACACATACACTGATATAAATCTTGGCCAGAATTGTCTTATCAAAATTAATATTGTAATAATTATAATCCACTACATATTCAGTAAATTTGTGAACTTAACATCCACCTCCTTCTGTAATTTCACATATAATTGTTAAGTAATTAACTATTGACTTCACTAATTACCTCCGGTTCAAGGACCAACGGGCAAATAAATGTGGAAAATTACATTTTTCTGTATGTAACTAATTATGTACATAACAGTAAATAACAAAGATAATTATTATTTATCAATGTTACATAGACAAGTAGGAATTTGGGACACCTAGGTCGCAAAAAATGTCCCCCTTCGATACCTACCACTGTCATAACCACAAGTTGCTCTGGACCTATTAATCATAAATGATTTGTATCACCAGGAATGCTGGTAAATATATAAATTTGTGGACTGTATATTAAAATTAAAAAATGATTATATATAAACACATATACATAACAGAAGGAGAATATCTTAAAATCAAAGCAATCACCAATTTGACTGGAGATTAATGTGTCATGTACAGGACCCCCCCTTTTGCCTACATTTATGAAAAATTTACTGGCCAGAATTTAAACATAAATTAGACAGCTTATCTGAGGTTCCTAGAGTTGTCCTGTCCTGTCGCCTGATACTCAAATTATGCAGGAATGCACATCCAACAATTTCGCCTCCTATTTGAGAGGTGTCAGCCCAATTTTAACCTCTAGAGCACGAAAAATTCTTCTCATTATTCACTAATGCTTCTAGTCCAAATTCAAACAAAATGGCGACTCTCCTTCTGCGTAGGTGCAGCTTCCCGTTTTCGATAACATAAATTTTATTAAATACAGTATGGCCATCTATTTACATATAACTACTGTATTTCTGGAAAATATATACAGCATTTTCCACATATAGTATCTAACGCATTCCCTCATTGCAACTAACATTGATAGTTTTAAACTGGACTTGTTAAAACACCGGCGATCATTTTAAAACAAATGTACGTGGGATACGAACTAAGGTGTCCGTGCACCTGAAGATGTGTTGTTAAATTGGACACATGTGCAACTCTTGGGTATCTTTATTGAGGAAACGTTTCGCCACTCAGTGGCTTCATCAGTCCATACAAAGGATAAACTTGAAGAACAGGAGGAGAATGAGGTAATCAGTCCTTCAACCTTGAGTTGATGTTGTCAGTCCATCAATCTTGAATAGAATACGGCATATGAGCGGAGAAGCCTGCTTATAATGTATGGCAGGAGAGTGCAGCAGTCGTAGGTGTGTCCACATTGTCCAATGTGGAAGTAGGTCGTGCCCAAGGGTTAGGCAACTACTTGGGAATTCTTCGCTTGCCTAACCCTTGTGCACGACTTACTTCCACTATTGGGACCAATGTGACACCACCTTACAACTGCTGACCTCTCTCCTGCCATACGGTTTATAAGCTGCTTCTCCGCTCATATGTCCGTATTCTATTCAAGATTGATGGACTGACCACATCGACTCAAGGTTGAGGGACTGATTACCTCATTCTCCTCCTGTTCTTCAAGTTTATCCTTTGTATGGACTGATGAAGCCACTGTGTGGCGAAACGTTCCTCAATAAAGATACCCAAGAATTGCACATGTGTCTAATTTAACAACGTGTCGGTTCTCTGAACCATTCATCTACAAACCTGAAGATGTCTTCTTCACATTGGAACTTACACCACATCCAGGTGAAGGTCGTTTTCCTTTTCAGTCTTGAAATTACACTCAATATCTAGTATGGAGTTGTGAAGAAGTGTCTGCTATTTCAGAGCACCTACGTCTACATGTAAACAATTAACAGACTAGAACGCCCCATTATCGGCTTAAATTAGTCCTGTATCCTGTCCTCTCACTTGCATACTCCAGGTGCTATCACAATCAGCTCCGGACTCCTGACACTTATAATACTGGAATTATTGTACGCGTATATAATAAATTTACAGAAGAACCGGCGTTGGAAGTTTAGCTCAACACTGCCCTAAAGCAATTCTTCTTCCCGGTCACATGAACAGCCTTAATTACGGTACATCCCTGGCACCAGGACTGCTATGGGGAATTTACCAGCCAAGTCTACTTTCTGACATAAACTAAATAGAAATACTTAGCTTCAGAGATGACTCAGATGTCTTGGAGCCACTGTTCAAGAGTATCTTTCGATTGAGTCGATTCCCCATTCCTGGACTGTGGAATGACAAGTGAGTTGTTATAATTTGCCCCAAAGGAGCGTATATTCAGCATTTCAGTATTATCTGAAATGCGTAGAGGTACTTACTGGGGTTTATGGATGGTATTCTTATAACGGTCTCTAAGGGAGGAGGCAATATTCTACTTACATATACCTGAACACTGCAGTGTTTTGGGGCAAATGAAAGGGGAATAAAACCTGACTCATAGCTGGAGTCCTGTGTCATTGGTGTTGAGATGAGACTGATATCGGTGACTTGACCGAAGACTTGAGTGTCTAAGGGAATGTTGCACTAATGTTCGCCTCAGACGTCTGGAATGTTCATTGCGATCATTCGCAATACCCTTTGCACTCTACGCCATTCCATTCTTCAGCAAATTTCCTGCCTCGTATAAAGGAACTAATCAAATTTTCCTAGTTTCCTGAGATTGTCAGAATGAACAAGAGTCAAGAACAGCACCGTCACTACTATCCTTTTGTCTTTTTAACGATAAGGATGGCAATGCTTTGTGACCACGTCTGTCTCGTGTTTCTTTTGAAGCATCGATGACCCACCGGCCCTTCTTCGCCTCACAGTTCATCATCCGGCCCCAAAAGGAATTTGCTGAACTCAGCTTTATATACATTCGTTTGCTACATATTGTAACGTATTTAATACAGAAGTAGGTTTTTGTTATTCAACTTAAACTAGAAGTCATAATGTCCCAACTTGCAGATCATGTGGGCACAGATTTTTTCTCTTACTTTTCCTACTATGGAGAAAAGAGTAATTACTCTCGTTTAACTCATATGTGTAATGGCTCAGAAATTCTAGCAAGGAGAGAACCGTGCGTGGAGATGCCTGGTCCATATGTGGTTCTAATAAAGTTGTTGTGCAAGGAAGAGTCCACTAGCTATGTCCCTCAGAGGGCTGAGGGGACTGAGAGGGCTGAGAGATGCCCCCTCTTTACTGGATATTTTTCTCCACAATTGCACCTTCCAGACTGGTGCTACCCACGCCAGTCATAGGCAAAGCACCTCTGAAATTTACCTTTAATCTCACACCACAGCATTGTAATTATTTGTACCTATTATGCACTTATGAATCAATTATTAAAAACATATCTTCTGATAGAAATTGCCGAGATCGAGCAACAAATTGCTCAATCTCGGCAACATTTTGATATCTTGATTCAGGAAATTTTTCAGAATTTGCCTAATCTATAGGCACAACCTACTTCTACTGGTAACTCCATCTGTCTCTGCTCTACCTTATCTGTTACCATTATATAATCCCAATCTCCACAAATAAACTGCACTTTTATCAAGATTGGACTATAATACATTCGGACTCCAGGTGAGGATGATCTGACTGCCTCAGAAGTTCTCACGTTCCTCGTTCTCTTGCACTGGACTGGAGAAGCCACTGACTGGCGAAACGTTTCCAGAATAAAGATACCCAAATGTTGCACAAGTGTCTTATTTGTCATCTTGTCGGTTTTCTAAACCATTTATTCAAACAATCTGTAAAGGGGTTGCTGAATTTGTCTCACAAATGGAACTGTTCTTGATGTCGAAGGCATCATAGTGTACAGGACTGAACCACTTGCCTTGGTAAATTCTTGTAAGTTGAAGGCTCACCAGGCAACTAGAGGACAGTTTTCCTATTTTCCGCCATTTTAATTAAGCTCAGTACTGTTGAATTTGATGACACATGACTTGCGAAATTTTGCCTTTTGTTCTGATAATGTGTTTTGTATACGATGTTCCTCATCCAATTTATCAGTATTAATGAGCAATGGTAAATCATTCAATTCATGGAATTTCATCAGCCTCTTGCCAGATTGTGGATAGCCTGACCTCTTTGCTCTGGGCGAGTCTGGCCTCTTGACATTCTTCCTCATCTTTAACACCTATCTGTCACTAGGTTTTGTTCACAATTGTTACATTTAAGATTTTTCAGTTTAGATTTGTTATTCATAATAAAAGTTTAATATGTCCCCCACCACCACTACTAAACCAAAAACTTATTATATCCAGCACCACCATTATTATACTGAAAGCTTGCACACCTGGAATAAGAAGCAAGAAGAAATTAATAAACATACATAGGTAATCATTAAGAAATTTTATTAGCAGTATTCATTGTATAAATATGTACATTAATTGTGAACGAATAGCATAATTAAGCTTTATTTTAAACAATAATTACTCTATTATCACTTAAAGGAAACCCCATGGGTAGCTGGTTTTATTGTTATTAGATAATTTGACCTTCAAAACATAAGAATAGACACCAGATTTGTAAATATATTTCGATATTTAATAAAGATTTGGCAAGTCAAAGAATTTTTGGTAATGACTGACAACAGATGGCCGTCAGTGACGTCACAGGTCAATTTTTAGGTGACTCCATATACAAAATAGTTTAGAATGCCTGGCTTCTCAGTCACACCAATTTTGGTGTTTTTATGATATAGTAGCTGTATAGTCCTTTGTTAGCGCTTCTTTTTGGATTTTAATAATAATAATTATGATATAGTATACTATTTTGACCTTTATCTCTTGTACTATATCGATTGCAGGTATGTCAATGAGGCTGTAATTAACCTCGTCCACAGGAAAGACATAAGGTGACTACCACCCTCAGGGTGGGTATATTATCGTCACCCAGCTAACTTATAACACTGTATTACCTTGCAGACTTCACCAGTGCCGTGGAGGTCAGCCCTGACGTCACTACCGTTCTGGGCGATCCTTGTGGCTGGTCTTGGTAACAACTGGGGTTTCTACACTCTACTCACTGACCTGCCGCTCTACACCAAGAACATGCTACACCAGGACATTAAGTCTGTGAGCTTCACCCTCTACATTCTTACCTTCCCCTACATCCACACAACCACACCCACACATGCACGCAGTTTAACCACAGAGTGAAACAATAGTTGAATTTACAAGTAACTTACATGATCTGTCAGATAAACTGGCAGATCACGACACCTTATTACACACCGTAGTTATGCTGTTATTAAGATATCATCCTGTTTTTAAAATATTTCAGTAAATTTAATAAACTGGTTTAAAATATGTTTAGTTTGGGAACAGAAGAAAATTTTTACTTATTTAAGATAAACTATTTCAATAAACAACTATGAGAAAATACGGGAAAAGTTATTTTTAGAGTAGTAGTTTGTCTAAATTGACACTTCAGCTAAGAATGAACAAATTTAAGCATATATTAATTCTTCGGGAGTTCACTAAGAAACTGATCTCCTGTACATTATTTCAGTTCCTAGCAAAAACACAATGACAGATTTTTGATTTTGCCACCGTAGGGTAGTTTATTGTGCACCCATATCCATCTGTGGACGGTTTTTTTTAGCGCGAGAGTATTATGGATACACAAAAGGCCTAGGAACTAGGCCCCAAAGGGTTAACAGGAATCTTATGATTTATATGACATATCTATAGTACCTTTAAGTGCTGTTACCTAAGCAAATTTAGGATTTTGCTTAGTATATCTGGTATCTTATTATTAATAAGATATCTTGACATGTCACATAGGTTAATATACTGTCTATCTATGTATTCTCATAAGTGGACTATTAAGCACATAGTGTTCAGAGAGTAACCTATGCCTGATCACATAATTTACATTTTTTTTTAAGGTTTTTTTTTGGATCATCATCTGTGTGTCTCCCAAACTGGCCAGTATACTTGTAACCAAGCCTAAGGCCTGGCCACTTTTTTTTTTTTTTTGATCAACATCCAGTAGTCTGTACACATTTGCACGTTGCTCATAAACTACTTATTTACGGGGTTTCCCCCCCCATGTTATCATCGTGGGTTATAGATCTATCAGGCTTCTACTGCATTCCTTTAACAATCATTTTCATTTTTTACTTTCTCCTAATTTTATATCCTAATGCTAGAGACACAGGTTTTACCAGTTATATTATACATTCTCTTTCTGGGTATCTTCTGGCTTAACATATCAACTTTATCATGAAGGAGTAATCCAATGTGTGATGGGATCCTTAGCAATTGTACATTAATTCCTTTGTCCCCTATTTTTTGAGATCTATACCTGTTCTCCAATGAGCATGGGTGTTTGTTTCATTATATGAGTCCAAGAGCTCAATGATGACATAGCTTTCAGTAAGGATGATAGAGTCAAGCTCAGTGTCATAGGTTTGCTTTAGCGCCAATAGGATTGACCAACAGTCAGTTTGCAGTTTAGACGCCCAGTTGTTAATTTCTTATGCCTAACTCAACAAAATTATTATCGTTCTTAACTAGGGACGGGGCAACAAGAGCAGATCAGCCCCTGCCGAAGACTCCCGTTTAGATCCATCAGTGTATATACACTTGTGATAACTTATTACTACCAAGCTAGGTGAGAAGTTCTTCTGAGCAGTTGCTCTACCCAGAGATTTAAGGAGGGATTACTAGCACTGAGCTTCTGGAGGACTTGCAGGTAGGTGATATTAATGAACATAGCTTCCACGGAGGGGGTCGAAATTGCTCTGGTTGCTACAGTGATACAGTTCATGCTGGTTATAAACTTGATGTAATTGCACGTTTTCACAATCCTTTAGATCTGTGTGTATTTACCCTCTAGACACTTGGTAAGATTCATTGTGACAGTGTCTGGTTCGTTTACTCAACATTATAATACCGAGTACAGTGTTAATCTCAATATTCCTATCACTGATCATAGAAATTACAAGCTCCTCCTCATGTTAAGACATTTTGTAGATCTGGGACAGCCTAGAATAATCCTGAGAGCTTCATTTGCATTACTCAAGGGTCGGAGGAACTTTCTCTAGCTTATGTCAAACAGGGGAGCAGCTAATCAATTATGGACCTAACATAGCCTATGTACATCATTCTCACGAATCTCACATTAGCACCCATAGTTGGGGTTGTAGTCAGCACACAGCTTTGAGAGCATTTAGCCCTAGCTTTGCATCTTCTTGTTTAGGTGTGGTTATAGTGGATTTGTTTAAAGGGACATCTACCCACCAAGATATCTGTAAGTTTTAACGTAAGCTAATGATTTCACCTGCAAATAGATGGGTGGGGGATGTCGTTTGCTTGTTATTATCTTTGTTTTAGAGAAAGATATTATGAGGCCTAGTCGATTACAAATTGCTTTGAACTTCATTAAGAATGGTATTCATCTTCTTATGCCCTGTTGATAGGGATCATGACTATCATTGCAACTAGCTTTGCTATATGTTTAGGTGAGGCAGGTAGAGCATTTAGGAGAGCATTAATCAGAATATTAAATAGCATGGGACTAAGAAACTCCTCCCGGCGGTGTACCTAAAGACATTCTTAGAATCACTTTAAGCCCTTGGTAATAAAGGACAGAGGAACTCATTGACAGGTATCTATTATCCAGCAGAGTAAGCTACCACCCAATATTCCTTTTGGCTAGTTCATGTAGTATACGGTTCTGTTCGCAATATCTAAATGCAGATTTTTGATCAAGAAAGTGGTATAACTAGTTGAGGTGTGTTACAGCGAGAGAAGGTGGAATACAGTTCTGGCACCACTTTTACTTTCATGAACCATAGAGGTAGGGGGAAAGTGGTGTTGATTCTGTAGTACAGTCTGTTAATTATCATTTCTTTCAAAAGGTTTACAAAGACAACTAGTTAAGGAGATCGTCCTTATATGTATCAGGCAGTTGGGGCTTAGGGATAGGCACAATGAGAGGGATATTAGCTCCTGGAAGTATGAAGGAACGCCCTCAATGTAAATGAGATTTTACAGTGCCAACAAAGGTTATCAGGCACGTGCCTTAGAGTTCGGAGGATTTTTCATAGGTTATACCATCCTCTCCAGGAGACAGTTGATCGGACCTTTAGTTAAGCATTATTAATTCATACTAGTAAAGAGGCAATCACTCTCATCATTATTTTGGCTCATAAAAATTAATCAGTTTCAACATTTCTTCAGAAGTACTCTCTAATTTTTTTCTAATATGAGTTGGATGGTTTTCATGCCTGGATGTTTTGGACCAGTCATTTATGAGGTCATTTGCTTTTTTCAAGAGGAAAGGGCGGAACATGAGCTACTTTGCAGTCTTTTTCTGGTTATTTTATTTTATACCTTTCCAAGCCAAACTTAAAGGGGTGGACTATTTAATCCACTAACAAAAACTGTTCCCATTCCTTTTGCCTTAAGTCTCTTGCTTTCTATTCCTTGCATTTGTTATAGTGCAGCTTGGAACGTTCTGAGCAAGGTCTGGGGGTTCTACATTCACGGTATGCTTTCCCAATCCTCCTAGCTGCATGTGTTAGATTGCGTAGCTGTGGATCATTATAGTATTTACATTGGTTTTTATGGTATTATATAGTGGAGGGTCGTTGTTTCCTATTCAGGCCCACTTGGATCTGTGAGAACACTCTCAATAGTGGAATTAAATAATTATTAAATTTTTGTGTGCCAATGGGCTCGTAATTCTTTATACCATTGATCCAATGGTTAATAATTTGTCTTCTGTGTTCTGTTGAGGGGGGGGGAAAAGAATAAGTTTTCCTTGATTGCTGGAGATGTGATCAAGATTGACAGTTGTTAGTCTTGGGAACAGTGATCAGAAGAAGATCATCAACTATGGACAGAGTCATGCATCGTATATGATGTATTAATTAATCCAAGACAAAGATTAGTGTGGCACCATATATGTGAGGAGGCTCAGTAGTGACCCACAATTCGAACATTATCCCATGCTCATTTTGCAATTTCACTAGTTTAGTTCAATGGTGTTTGTTATAGACCACCGATATTTTATGTCTGTCATTACAAATCCTCAAGAATGAGGTAGGGTTTCCACTATTGATGCGATCTGAGTAATAGCATCCAGGTCGAAGCTTGTTCGCTGGGCATAGAGATTAAAAATGTTTATGGAAAAATCGCCTGCATATACTTTGACACCATGTACTGCATGTTAACTCGAATCTCTGCAGGAATGGAGTGAATGTGGCAAGTTCTTTCTGAAATACATCCACACAAACAGTTGGGTTGGACCTTAGGTTATAAGCTGACATATCCAGGCACAGTTTGGTGGAGGTGCTCCATCTTTCCAATCTTACATTCCGCACAACAGATGAAAATCAATATTCTTGGGTTGCACTACTATGTGTAAACGTCAGGCACACCGCTTCCTGTATAGGGGATGGAAGCAATGTTCCATGAAAAGATTTGTAAGTATCCATTGTAGTGAGTTATTACAATCTCTTGCTCATAAGATGGTAACTAAAACTATTATGCTTTGACTAAGTGTGCAGATACTTAAGGGCAAATAGCATGGGTTGTACGTCTTTTCTTCAGGACCTTTATTTTTAAGCATTTTTCGGCATCTGACAGCATGTAAAAGGCAAGTCTTGAAGGCATGGTCATGGGTTCTTTCTTACAAATTGCTGGAACGAGGGGTATTCATAGTTTTTGACTTTCAGACACACAGAATATCCCACGTCAAGGATTATCTGGGCGTAGGGTAGAAGTGCCTTCATCGCCCCAGGATGTTCACGAAACTATAGTGTCCTTCATATTTCCCCCAGATAATGCGAGAGTATAGTCAAAACATGCGGTAGAGGAAACCAATCCTAACTCATGCATCTTCTACCCTGACAACAACATAGATGAGAACGTTTCCCATTGTCGTTTCACAACATATATACTAGGCAACTGCTAATTCCGCATTATTGAAACGTTTTTCATTTCTCATTGTATCTCATAATCATCTCATTATATCTCTCATGACGCAATCATAAATAGGTGTCAAGTTTTTTCTCTTAATCAATACGGACACAGTTTTCTCAAACAATGGTAATTCAAATATC